GTCTCCACCTGTTTTCACTCTCCCTTGTTCTCTTCTCTCAAGATCTCTATCCCAGGTCTCCTTGTCTCTTCTTACATGCACACTCCCTATCTACAAGGATCTACTCAGAATGCCTCTCGCTGATGTTCTAACACTAACCCTGCTAAAACTAATACTAACTCTAGCTTTGGCTGGCGCAGCTATGGCTCCTGCAGCCAGCGTAGCTTCCGTTCCTCTGGCGCAACTTCCTCTTCAGCCAGCGCTCCTCCCTGCACCTTAACGCACAAGTGCCTTAACACTTCCACGTATCAATGCCAATGGGAAATCTGCCTTGTGGGGAGGCTGTCTCGTTTCTTATTGTACTGGCCTCCCCTGGTGAGGTCTGAATTCAGTCTTTGTTGGTCCTTTTCCCAGTCCCAGCCCCTGTGCTGTGTGCCACAGTTCCTTTTCCTCAGGGTCCACTGCGGCTGCGGCCTTCAGGCCTCAATTTCGGACTTCCAACCTGAATTTGGACTTTCCCTTTGACTGGAATCCTGACCGGGACTCAACCTTTTGACTTCCTTTTGAGAGGACACACCTGTTATACGTACAGACATACATTTTACACGAACAGACACATATACTGCATGAACAGACACATACTGTACGTACATACACAACTTTTGCATGAACAGACATGGACTGCACATCCCCTGGATGAACAGTTGTGTTTGAACACTGCGACTGTTCGTCCAGGGCACAAGTTTTGACCTTTGACAATGATCTTTAGTTCGTTAGGATGTGCCTTTTTTACCCAAAGAACATACCTGTTGATCTGCTTTTAACGAGTTGGGGGTCTGGCAAGTGACCCCTCTAGGTTGCACTTCTCAAACGAGGTCTGAATCGGGTAAAGGCCCTTTTATCTCTCTCCCCTCTTACTTCGTCGGATCTTTGCCGGCACACTTCGACCCCATGGAGTTAACAAAATGCTGCCGAAATTTTTGAAAAATCCAACACTCAGTCCCTCTTTAGTCTCCCCCGCCTCATTTATTTATTTATGATTTCTTTACTATTCTGCCAGGCATGCCCGACCGGTTGGGCCCAGGGGGGTCCCCCCGGTGAAACCGGGCGACGCAAAAACACAGCAGGAAGTTTTTTTATTTTTTTTTGAAGGCGGGGTTGTGCTGCGCTACCCTAGAGGACCACGAATCTGCAATAAAAAAGTTAAGTTGGGGGTTAGGGGGGGGGGCGCTGGGGGAGTGTGGCATACTGCATAGCCACACGGGCCCTGTAGGACCCATCCCGGACATTCAGCCTAAAAGCCTAAAACTTAGGGCTTACAAGCCCCGTTCGTTTCAGCCTGAAAGCTGAAAAACGAGGGCCTGCAGGCCCTACYCCGTTTCAGCCTATTTCTGGGTCTTTTCAGACCCAGAGTTTTCAGCCTGAATCGGAGGGCCAGTTTCAGGCCCTCATTGTTTCGACCTGCCCCTAAGACTCAGGCACGTAAACAGGGATGCGGAACAGGCCAAAAATAGCCTGTTCCTCACAAGTTTGAGCAGGAGCTGCAACTGCAGCCCCTGCCTCCCTTCGGCAGGCTCAGGAGGCACACCCGTAGTACATAGGAAGTTCCCATGCACTTCACGGGTATGTAGTGTTCAGTAGACACGAGAAGTCTTCAGGATTCGGCCGCAGCACTCTGGAGGAGCGCTGCAGTAGTCTTCAACGCTAGGCAGTAGTGGTAGCGCTAGCTGTAGTCTTCGGCGCTGGGCGCCATAGCTGTAGCTGTAGTCTTCAGCGTTGGGCGCTGGTAGGTGGTAGATCGTAGAGTGGGAGAGAGAGTGGCGGAGGCCAGTGATACTTAAGTGTGGCGCCATCGCTCCAGCTCCATCTTCGTGGTACCTGCATCAAGGCGCCAACTTCACAAGTTAGTATTGGACACGGAAAGAGAGAGAGTTCTTCTTCTTCCTCTTCTAAGTCCACCTTCTCTTCTCACCCTCTCGACACCTGACTTCTCAGACTACGACAAAGAGACAGAGTTGTGACTTGAGACTTGACGACATTGGATCCAGACTTGACATTTGGGATTCAGACATTTCGACGAGGGACTATTTGGGCTTGTGCCGAAGACTTGGTGTTGACAACATTCCCATCTTCCCCCTCCTCTTCGTCTATCCCCTTCCTCCTCGTTTGTGTATGGTATGGGCTGGCGCAGTCTTCCTGTGTGAAGCGCCAGACCCATTCACACCTTGTAACGATGATGATGATGTATGTTCAGGGCTGCATTACAACATTGATTGTTCGGATCACTGGTATCTAAGTCTTCCACTGTGTTATCTTGTACTTTGTATTGAAAGGTCGGTTCTTGTTCTGGTCTACACGTTACAGTATGCAACAGTTTGGTATCGGAGCGGACCTTTCATTCAGAGGACCCGCTCAATCAAGTAGCCAGCTTGCGTTCTATTGATCACTCATTAGTAACGCAAGTAGGACTTAGTCAAATCTCTGAAAAGTTTTTCTCACAACAACAATCTGAAATTTTTGATATTCGCATTTCGTTCTATCTGAAAATTTCTGATATTAGTAGTTCGTGTTTTACGTAGAAAATATCTGAAAATTTCTGATAAATCGCATTTCGTTTGTCTGAAAATTCCCGATAGTAGCACCTCGTTTTCTGATATTCGCATTCCGTTTTACCTGAAAATTTCTGATATTGGTATTTCGTTTTTACGTATAAAATATCTGAAAATTTCCGATAAATCGCATTTCGTTTTGTCTGAAAATTCAGATAGTTGCATTTTCGTTTCTCTGATGTTTCGCATACATAGCTGAAATTTCTGAAGTTAGAATTTCGTTTCCTAGGCATTTTGGGATAACGATAGAAGTGGTCACATTCTCGGAAACTGAAATTATTCTTTTTTGAAAATCGAGTTTGCATCTTATCTCGCAAAGTTTTTTTGAAAACCGAAATCTTGCGAACCCTACCAATATTACGATAGGCATATTCGGAGATCGCCATATTCTCAGAAACTGGAATTCGTTCTTTTCTGAAAATCGCATCTTTACTCCATTTCGCAATTTTTTTTTTCCAAGATCGCATTTCTATGAAAGCCGAAATCTTGCGGAACCTAGCCTATATCTTGTTCATAGTACTCATCTGCAATCAGACTCGTTCTCAAACACACTTTTCATACATGTAAACAGCAACGCAGCATACTGGCGACATGCGCCCACTCAAAAACTCGGAGATATGGCTTTCAGACACGAGTTCACTCTCAATTGGCTATGGCGACTTCAGCGCCCAAACATCTCACTGTTCACATACGCTGGATCACCCTGGATATCCCACACGCATCACTCTAACACTCGAACACACACACACACTCACTACTAACTACAGCTATGGCAGCTATCGCTGCATCTAACCTATCACTAGACTAACTCCTCCTCTCTTGCCC